TCTCTCCCGCGTAAAGCTCCAATATTTCAATACGTTATCTAAAAAGTCAGGCCGAAACCGACGCGATCGATAGCGCAGACCACTCGAGAGAGTGAGTGTGTGTATATATACAGTGAGCAAACGTCGTTTTTAGCGGCAATTCTAGAGTCCTACCTAACGCGCCCGCGGTGCACTATTATCGGCGATCGAACGATCGAACTATGCGCGCGTTCACGTCGAATGCGATCCTAATCCGATTTCGCGTGCCGCATAATAAACCGCGCTGCAGCTGTCCTGTCGTGCGCCCGTTCAAATCCCCGGACGATCATTTTTCCGACGGTTTCCGGACAGCGCCTCGCACAAACCACGCGCAATTCGCTGAAATCAGCATCGAAAATCGGATCCGCAATTTTTGATACATGTTTCAACAGGAATGAATAGAATGGCAACATGCATTACTTTTCAATTATTGATTTGTCAATAAAAATTTAGTAGATCCTTTTATCGTTTATCTTTATAAACTTTTTTTATCGCTTTAAAGTTAATTTTTCCTTTACGATCTCTCAATAGTTTTATTAAGAAACAATAGGAAAAAAAAGTCTGTTAAGCGTTTAAGATGTTGTGCGCATTACATTTATAGGTATAATAAAATAAGCAGGATGTGGATAGTAACTCTAAGAGTATAATAATGTTCATTTTCACATTACAAGATATTAAAAATGCAAAAAGTATAAAAGCTATCCTCGAGCATCGTCATTAACTTTGCATTTATACATCTCGTTATGTCAATTGCGAATATATCCATAGGAAAATGATGTAATATTCGCTGAAGATTATAGTTTTATCACGCTTTATTTTCAGTCATGATATCTTCCAACATAGATCGCATTTACAATCGCAAAGGTGACCATAGCGATTTTCTACAAAATTAGAGGTAAAAGGAAAGTTTATTCCAACTGTCTCTGATACCCATGCAAAATTAATAGAAAAGAGACTATGAAACGGACAAAAGAGTAAGATAGGAGAAAAGAGAAGTGAAACTTTCGAAACTCCACGGACTATTGGCGAAACTATAATCCGTCTTGCCTAGGACAATTCGTGCAATTAAGTTCGCACAACGCCGCGAGCATCCCCATAATTGAGGATCCGAATAAGAACATGGCAAGGCCATTTTCTCGAAGAAATAAATTATTTACCGCTTAAACCCGTATTTATGTCCCGTACCTGCCGCTAAATTTAACCACCTGTGACTCACAAATCTATATGATGTAATTTTAAATACTACCTTCACGTTGAAGTCCTAATTATTTCCGTTTCTACTTAAACACAGTGAACTATTTAATCAAACTGACAGACACTTCTGAAAATGTCTTTACGTTTATTTAACGATTAAGTGAAATATTTGCTAAAACTATAAAACCGTTTTATACAATTTTCAACGTTTTGAAAAATAATGGAGAAATATTTGCTTAAATTCCAAAATGAGATAGATCGATCGGTGGACATGAATATGCATATAAGCGAATGAAGCACTTTGATAGAATTGCGCCATGTATCCCGCTTCGTGCTAAACGTAATTGTAGTTTACAGCGTCGAGCTTTGCACGGGACATGAGTTTGCGACCATCTAATTACAGACACGGTCTATTACTAATTAATCACTGCTATAGCTGCGCGATCGAGCATTATGTTGTAATATCCATCAATTAAGGGACGCTTATAGGCATAATTCTCGACTTGTTTTAAAATCTATGATATGATTATCACTTCAAACATTCATCCTCGACAAAAAAATAATTTGCCGACTGCCAGCGGATTATTATCTCGCTATTGAAAAAAATATGATGTATCGCGATAATATATTACGATTATATCGCGCCACATCGCGGCGAATAATTCATTCCATCGTTAAATCGCAAGTATTCGCTTGCGGCGGTGAATAAATCCTCATTCAACGGTCTGGATATTTTCTCGTTCGCGTGCCCGAGAATGTATCACGTTTCTTTGCTACAGAAAAATCGCATTCCTCTCGCTTGAGTAGGCTTAATCGCCATACCATCAAGATGCTATTTCGTAAAATAAGTATAATCGGAAAAAAAAGAAAATCCCGTAAGTCCGCGGATTGGTATGCAAAAACATCGCGATTTAGAATGCATGATCGAAGGAACGTGCGCTACGCCGGCAGCAAAGCACGGCGTGAGGTCGCTGATCGTGCCGAATGGAAGAAAGAAAATCTGATTACTCTAATTGACTTCCTGATGACATAAATATATAGTCTGCTATAGAGCGTCCGATCAACCGCGCTTCCTTTGGATGATAGACACTAAATGACTAGCTAAGAATAACTTGTGCCGACTAACTGGCGGCGTGACAAAATCTAAACCACTCAATGTAATCTCTCGCTATATTTATTATGAAACACTTTCTAAAAAAGTAATCGCTCTAGTAGATGACAATAAATAAAATAAGTAAAAAATAAAAAGCTAGTATTACATAGAAAGAAGCCTTGTATAATAGAAATTATCTTTCTTAGAAGTCTGCATTTCTCCGATAATTGTTGAAGAATCGCGGTAGAACAGTTAGTCGCTAATCAAAATTCGAGTTGAAATTATTACGAAAAACAGGCAATTAAAGATAGAGATTAAGAGTATGATTTTATTTCGGATAGCTATTGATTGAAAAGTGAGAGAGGAAGCACATTAGCGCTGATGTGTGTATAAGAGAGTGTGTGTGTAACGTAAATAAACCGCGGTAAAGAGAGGTAGTAAAACTATCGCAAATATGTTAGAAAAGTTGTTACTTGGAGAAATAATAATAATTTTAAGACAAAGCAGAAATAATAATATACAGCGAGAATTAATGAGTTTGGATTTGTAACGGAAATGCGATTAATTAGATTGTTACGTTAGTTGTCCGATTTTTGTTCAAACAACGTTGAAAAATAACTTGTCCTTTTTTAATTTTATAAACAATTTTTATATGAATAAAAATAATTGATAAAATATTTCTTTAATTTCCAAGATCACTTCTTCTAGAAATTTCTGACAGTTTATTCAGTTTCTTACTAATCCAAAATTGTTACTTGGTATTATTATCAGTAAAAAGATGCGGAAGTTTGCGTGAGTTCCCGCTTTATCTGATTTACTTTTTTGTACTTCCCGCATTGCGTCATTCAGATAATCGTTGCCGCAAAAATCATTAACCACGATTAAAATGTACCATCCGCGAGTACTCCAGAATCCCGCGTTACGTGACGTCACTCCGTTGCTTGCGTGTCGAGTAAAGGAGAAACCCGACGTTTGGTCGGAATTGGTCAAAAATGGTTCTCCGGTCAACTTGGTTGACGGAATGAGAGAGAAAGAAGAAGAGAGCGAAAGAAACGTGACGTCAGTTGGCGGAAGTCAATTGGCGTAGCGTGCAACACACGAGACTTGATTCTACGGGCGGCCTTCCTTCGCCTTCTCTTTCGCCGTGGTATTAAGTTTAGCCACTTCGGCCTGACGCGGGCAGTGTGTCAAGATCACTTGATCCGCTGCTGATATCGACCATTCTCTATTTATCCGTCCGTCTCGTTCGTCCTTTCGCTACGTCAAAAGAGACGTGTCCCGAGTGTCGTTCGCAAAGTGCCGGCAAATTCGCGTCTAGCGAGAACTGAGGATATCAGAGAGAGAAGAGAAAAAGGCTGTTTCAAGTATCGTTCGAGAGGTCTACCGCTGCACGGTAGGTTGATAGGCTCGTGTCTGCTTTCATCTTTTCTAACCAAAGCAACGGATCGGTTCTTTGAAGGATGTCGGAATAATTCGCGGACGGAGTGGCGAGAGGCGGTCGTCCAAGATTCAAAGAATCAGAACGGGACTGGCTTTTTCTTTTGGGAATAAAAAGATTCGCGTGCCAGATGGTTGTACAGAGTGAAAAAAGATGAATACATTATTTATTCTTTGCGGTGGTTTCTCAGAATGATGCTGTTTGATGTTGTTTAAAGTTAACGCTTTGAAATACATGACTCAAAGATTATTACAATGTGCCCCTGCATTTTCCTACCTAGATTCGCCACGGTAGAGGACGATTCAGTAGTATGCCTTCTTCTTTCGCGACGATTAGTCAGCGGTTTTCGATACGAGTAAGTGGTTTTGATACGAAACAAAAAGTGTATCTCTATACTCTATCTCAAGGATTGACAGACTGACGAGTCCTCGATTAAGAAATCTAGTTAGATTCATGCGAGCACGACTCGTATCTCGTAAAAGGGGCTTCATTCAAAGACAAGCGGAAGCTATTTTCTTTTTCTGCACTCGGGCTGCTACGCAGCGGATCTCTGGTGAGGAAAACTCGTGCTGTTACACAGCAAAGATCTCTTCCTGCACTCGGGCTGCTACGCAGCAAGGCTCGTGTGAGCATCTCTCGGGCTGCTACGCAGCAAGGCTCTTGTGAGTATCTCTCGGGCTGCTACGCAGCAAGGCTCGTGTGAGCATCTCTTGGGCTGCTATGCAGCAAAACTCTAGTGAGAAAAAAAGTGCTTTTACAAAGCTGATTTCTCGCTTTTCTCAAAATTGTTCTTCTGAGGATCTGGGTTTATTCTCGTTCTGCAAAAATTAGTTTGCAGAACGGATCCTACAGACATTTATTGATACATAAAGTATAGATGTAATCGTTACACGATTACATCAACTTTTTTGTATCGATTTAAGAGTTTCTCTCTATTTTTTAAGAGTAGATTTGTTTATTTACAGAATAAATTCATTTTCTTTTATTTTTGGTTGTAAAGACCTTTTATAAGGTAAAAGGTCGATTAAAATATTTAACCCTTTAATTAAGTTTTATTTGCAGCTAACATTACTTTAATTTATTTTCTTTTGGTTTAGTCCTTTGGTTTATATATATATATTTTATTTATCACTTATAATATTACATTTTTTTTATAACCTTTTGAATAAATATTTATAATTAAATTTTCAACTGTTTCCTGTCCTTTCTAAACTGCCTATTGCATATAGTTTAATATTCTAAATTACTTTGTTTCAGTTCTCTCTCTATTCTTATCTAACAGATGTGCTAGTGCGTATTGGCCTGAATTCGATTGATATATAGAAGTAAGTCCATCTTTTCGATTTATTTTACAAAATCTATTTTACGAAAAAACTCTCTCTCAAAAATTTTCTCTCTCAAAAACTTTTCTTTCATGTTAAAATATTAATTTATTTGTGTTAGATATCTTTTATGCTTTTGAGAATATCAACGGTTACTTAAGAAAATCACACGCAGAACTGCGTTTTGACGCTCCCTAGAGTAGACTTTTCCCCAACATTACGACTTTATGTTAATAAGCCTTTTCCTTTCGTTCGAAACACCAAGAAAAAAAGAGAATGCGCAAACGCATTAACGGATTAAGGGATAGATTCTACTGTAACGCAAGCGGAGTAAGTCAGATTGCCGTAAAGAGCCCGTACTGAGGGGTGGAATAACGAGGGAACACCCGTTTGATTGCAGAAGGATGCAGCCACGGGTGACAGTGGCTCTGGCCACGGTCTGGCTGACGGTGGCGGGTCTGGTAGGAGGAGCAGTCACTCTCCGCCTCTCCCACGATCAATACTCCCCCGCAACCCCGCGCCACAACGCCGGGGTTCAACGGGACCAGACCGGAGACTGGAGGGATCGCGAACCGGCCGAGGATCAACCGCTCGACCTTTGGATCGGCTCGCGAAGGTCGATCTCCGCGAAAGGTACGTTAGACTTTGCAGTACTATATCATGCTGAATGAAATAAAGTGTGATATTGTGTCCCGCTGTCAATTCAAGGGTTGATGTCAAATACGGGATTGCTATTTTGAGGATACAGGAAATGCTTAGTATAAATCTTCCTTATTGCTTTCCTTCTTTCCATACGATCAAATATACAAAAAGATCACTGCTTATTTATAAATGTTACATTTATTTTACTATCGAAATATCCTATTTACTTGTCTCTCTTGTCTTATTATTGCTATTGCTCACCAATTTTGAGAAAACATCGGAAGAAGTTTAATATAAATTCCTTCTTTCTTTTCTTTTTTTTTTTTATACAACGAAATGTGCAGATAAAATTTGATAATTATATGAATTGTTTCTATTTCTTTATTTTTAGATATTTGTTTCTTGAAAATGTTCTATGTAATCGACACTTTTATTGTTAAATATAAATGTTGAAAATTTCTAGCACACGTGGAATGCCGAATAGAAATATGCTTTCGATGTTAATTGTTCAGATATTTGGCGTTGTACTTGGCACTTTGATTTACTTGGTAGATAGATATATAGTGTCCTAATTCAACTGGCTTCAGTTACGTCAGCGATTTAATTTTATCAGGCCGCCTCCTTTAATGGAGACGGAATAGACGCGCCGCGACGAAGCGCGTCGCTCAGTCTAACGGTGGAAATCCGTTCGCCCCGGACTTTCTATCCAGCTTTCTTGATTAATCAAGGTCTCCTTGGTCGTCGTCTTTGTGCAATTCCAATATCGAACGAGTACTATTCGCGGTCGTTAAAAAGCTCGCCTTTTCAACATGCATTTAATCTCAAATGCAGTTATTTTTATTTCGCATTAGAATTGAATGTGATATAATGAAAATCAGAATGCATATTTATATTTATATATTTCATGTGGCAGAACTTTAAAGATCTATATCAACACTTTGCGTTGCTAATTTTTACTCGTAGAGATAAATTTATGGTAATATGTAATAAAATAAATTTAATGTATAAAAATACTTTAATTATATATTACTATTTTGATTATTAAACTTTCTGCACATTTGTTAGTATGGAAATAAGTGTGATAGCGAAAGCTATTATTTAAGAAGAAAATAATGAAAGATCTATATTTCCCGAGGAACTCTCATACATATATACACGGCATTGTACATACGTGATAACGGCATGCAAGAATTTCAGAGCAATAAATTGACGTCGAGCATTACTCACGTCGCTGTACTATGCAACTACATTAGTTCTACTTGCGCATGAAACCCCTATTAAATATCTTTCGAAGAATCTTTGTGCTCGTACATTAAATCGAAATTAAATCTTCGTTAGAAACTATGTGTGAAGAGTGAAGGTAATATTTCCCGTGAACAGGTAATATTTCCCGTGCATATACCTAATTTATGACAGAAATTTTATTCAATAGCACCTGATTTCAAACTGCAATAACCAATTCGCTTCGATACACATCGACGTTGACTCATTTTGAACTTTTCAGGTCCGATATGAAACTCATAACTTCCTATGCGCTGCAATTATTCACCTTGCATGTATTTCGACAAAGTTTCATATCGAGAGAAATATTACATATTCATAATATTCAAAATGCTAAAAATTGTTTGTAAATCAGTTGCAAATAAAAAAGTTCAATCTTAGAAAAGTCTGATATTATATTTAATTATAATTTCAAAAAGATTATTCTATATATACCATTGTTAGTTTAAAAAATAAAAATGTCTCATATTTAATTTCAAGTCAAGTAAATATTTTTAAAAAATCTGTCAATTATATACGTTTTTCAGAATCACCAGCTCGCGATACGAAGTTTGTCGAACGAGATTTTCCGTTTGAGATGCCTCTGAAGGACATTGTCTCGTCAAAGCGAGCCTACTCGCTTTCAGGTTGGCAAAGGTGGTTGCCGAATATCGCCGGTGTGGAATTCGCGGCCGACAAAGTCGATTACGGCTACGAGATGCCGGAGACGCTTTCGCGCGAAGCAGTTGTACCCCCTTCAGACCTCTTGGACGACCCCTTTGTGGCAGACGACACGTTCCAGGATCAAGGCCCGGGCTCAGTGGAGATATACAAGCTGGACTTATCCAAAGAGAAGGCTCTGCTGACCGCAACCACACCATCCACAAATTCGCCGTCGAGAAACAAGAGCAAAGCGCCGAAGAAGACCGGCCACCTGAGCACAAAGACTAAGACAACGGAGATCAAGTCGACGACGATGAGCCCGAAAATTCATCACAGGCAATCGAACTTCTTCGAGGAGCAGCGAACCGAGACGCCTTCGGTCAACAGAGATTCCTTCGGCGACGGCGGCGTGCCGGAGCTACAGGTTGGATGCGAGGGTCTCGAAGCGTTGTCGTCCCACAAGGCGAAAAGATCGATAGATACGCCCGGCAACGAGAACGAGCAGGTAGCGACGTTAGACGCGCTGCTAGACGTGACGCCAGTGGCTCTTGATCTCGATTTCGTATCGTACGAGGACAGTTACGAGGAGATGGATGAGCTATTTAAGCTGAAGAAACTGGAAACCACCACGAGAGAAAATAAGCCGAAGAGAGGCGACATGGACGCCAGCTATCTTAATTCCGATCATCTGGATGAACATAAGCGACCGGACAAGCTACCGGTTCGAGGAGATCTGGGCGAATCCTCCAAGAAATCTAGCCAACTGAAAATCGGTGAAAACGAGCCGCAAAAGCCGACGGATTCCGAAATCAAGAAGCATGAGGAGATTAAAGCGAAGCGTAAGTCCGTTTCGTCGGAGGATGATGACGGCACCAGCAGGAATCGCGGTCGACGGTTGCTGTGGCTGGCCGAGGCAAATACCGAGGGATTTGCGGACGGTAAAAGCGAGCGGAAGCGTACAAGGCGATCGATCGATTGGGGCTACGGTGAGAACGAGGGTGTCGTGTCCAGCGACGAGCTGCAAACCTTGAGCCAACGTCGCAGGCAGCACGACGTACGGTATCACCAAGACGTGTCTAGGAGACGTGACCAGTATCAGAACGTCGTAAATCCCGAGATCGATAATATGAGACGAGAGTACGAGAAGCAGCTTGAACAGAAGCGAAGGGAGGACGAAGAGCGACGGTCGCGAATGCAACAGGGTGGTCGGAGCAGATGGGAAGAGGAGAGGAGAAGAGACGAGATGCATAGAAGGCAGCAGGAAAATTACAACAGGAGAGCGAATCACATTTCGACGTCTCGCGTGGACGACGAGGACACGCAGCAACGACAAATAGAGGAACAGCAAACACAGGAACCGGAATGGAATCGTACGCTGGAAATAGCTGGAAGAAAGGAGGAAGAGCAAAGACGGCGGGAGGAAGAAGAAATGAGAAGGAGACAGCATAACAGGTGGCAGGAGAGCACGAGAAGAACGCCGGAATCCGTAACGCCAGTGAGCGACGAGGAAAGAAGACGACTTTACGACGAGCAGATAAGGAGACAGGAGGAGGAACGGCAAAGACGATTGCAAGAGGCAGAAGCTAGGAGGCAGGAGCAGTACAGATCGCAGCAAGAATCACAGAGGAAAAAAGACGAAGAGGAGAGGCGACGTCAAGAGGACTCCTTGAGGAACCTCTCCGAAAACGATAAAAGAAGACTCGAAGAACATCGTAGAGAATCGGAAAGGAGGAGGCAAGAGGAGGAGGACGAGAGAAGGCGACAGCAAGCGCCATCAAGCATGATACGTCCGGGGTCTCGAATGAGTAATTCGAACGATATCAGACAGCGCGATCGCGACGAGGAAAGAGCGCGCGCGCAAGAGCAAGAGGAGAGACGGCGAGAGCAGAAGTTGCGCGAATACATCGCGCGGAATCGACCTATCAATGTCAATCAAACCGCGAGAAGATCGGAGGAGGAGAGACGGACCAATCGACCCGAAGAGAGCCGAGATCGGCGAGTGAGCGCGAACAGAAATGATGAAGAATACCGTCGGCGAGCGGAGGAGCAGCGCAGGAGGCAGGACGAGGAGCGGAAGCTGCAGGATTACATCAGGCGGAATCAACCGGTGAATGTGCCGTCGAGGAGCAATCAATCGACCGCAACCGACCGTAACTTGTTCGAAGAGCGAAGACTGATCGAGGAGGCCAGGCGCCGCGACAGGTATCCCGATCCAGGAGCGAGGAGACAGCACGGGCCGTCGGCGTCGACGTATATCGATCCGCGAAGCTCACCGGAGGAAGTCAGACAGAGGCAGCAGGAGACGGCGAGGAGGCTAGAGGAGGAGAGGCGGCAGAGGTACGAGGCGGAAGAGCGGCGGAAGGAACTCGCCAGGCGACAGCGGGAGAAGGAGGAGGAGAGGCGGCTGCGGGAGGAACGGATGCGGAAAGAGGCGGCTAGGCGAGAAGAGGAGGCGAGAAGGGAGCAATCCAGGAGATACGAGGAGGATAGGAAGCGGCAGGAGGAGGCGAGGTTGGATGCTCTGCAAAGGCGGCAGGAGAGACGAAGGGAAGAAGCGAGAATTTTAGCTAAAGAAACGAGACAGCCGGAAGCCACAAGGCCGACCTACTACGAAAACCCTCGTCTTTTGGCGGAACACAGAAGGCGGCAGGATAGCCGACCGATTCCGAACAATTTAGTGCGGAACCAAGAGGACAGAAGAATAGCGGCTGAACGCGAGAGACAAAGGCAGGAGACTGAGAGACGACGGCAGGAAGAGAGGTACGTACAGGCGTCCTCGAGGCGCAACGATTTGCAAAAATAAAATTCCCTCTGACGCGCTACCAGCAAACTTTATTTGCGCGGCGCTATCAATACTTATTATTGTCGTTCGATAGTTGCCGTTTTATTTTTTTACTCGCTTATTATTAGAACCGGAGAAAATAATATACTTCATAAAGTTGACTGTGGTATTATTGTTATAAACTGATAATGATAAATCGTTGGTGCTTATATTATAAGATTTATAGCTCGCGAGAGAACGAAGACGGAACTTTATTTCTAATTTTATATGTGTAATATGAAAAACGACGTATAAACTTGAGGACAGAAATCTATGAGAAATTTTATTTATTTCGTTATATTCTGAAGTTTAATTTAACTTAATATTTAATTTAATATTAATTTAATTAAATTTTCTTATTTAATTTTGTCATTTCATTATATTAGAATAATTACGTCTTGTAATTAACACTTGTGTCTCTGAAATGAAATAACGATTAAAAGGTATTATTATCGCATTTTAATTAACTTAATAAACTTTGCTTACGGAAATTGAATTATTTCTCCAAAATTTAAAATCTCACGTACAATCTAGAACAGCAACAATCGTACGACCTCCGCGGACCACGCGACTTTAATTAAGGAAACACCCGGAGCGTGTCATCGCGGCGGGAGCCACGAGACTTTACTAATTCGGGTCACTCTATAAACATAATCCTATTTCCACCTGCCGCAGAATGAGAGAGGACAGACGGAAGGAGACCGACCCGTGGAGACGACAGGAAGTAGCCAGACTAAACTCTCTACCAGTGAGCGCAAGGATAATAGTTCGTCCTAGCGGCTCCTCACGGCCCGTTTCGCCGGCAGTGATGCCGAGGACCGGCTTTGACAACGAGATCGATTTCACGGTAAGTTCTCCATTTGTCTGTCAAAACACTTCACCGCACTCCGATCGCGTACCCAATCCGGTCTGTCCGCTGGCGGTTTGTTTAACGGCGAATCCGATCTCGGTGGTCGTCGATTGTCTCGTGCTACGGAACCGAGGCGCGCTTCATTAAATTGCGGGACAAGTTGTGGCGAGTTCGTGCTCCCTTGACCTGGACAACACCCGATCGCGGCGCTTTGTTCCGCTTAATTGACCGGCCGCTGAGCAGCGCCGTTACTCGCCTCTCTTCGTGCTCTCGCCCGATATTTCAGCCGAAAGTCGAAAAAATAATTTAAAAATGAAAGGGGCGCTAGATGTCGCAAAATCGTTATTTTTTACAAATTCTATTTACATAAGAGACAAACAGTATATATTCTTTTCTCAAGCTTACTTTAAGTATAAAATTAGAAGCGGAGAAGCATTAAAAATAGAATAAATTATTTTCAGGGGATCAATCCGCATCGCGAAGGCGTAAAAGTGCCGCAATTCCCCGCTCCCCCCACCCGGAGACCACCCGCTCAAAGTCCCGGACCGTGTGTCTGGGCAGTTGTTCAATGTTGTTCGAGCAACAACGATCGTCTTGTAAAGTGTTTCGAATCGATGGGTTGTCCCGGGATTAATTGGGATCCTAATCCGTGCAGAAGTTCAGTCGCGAATGCTGCTAGAATGGAAGTCACGAAGTTCTACGAAAACCAATAACATCGGTAAGATTTGCCCTTCGCTCTTCGGAGAGAAATGCCAAGTAGACAGAGAAAGGAAAAGGCTCTCTTTAGAACTCTCTATTCTAATCTGACGGAAGATTGCACAGAAAGTTTACTACGAATCAATTTTGTGCGTGGGTGCAACTCCTATCGGCACTGTACAAATATTAGTGTTGCTGGATGGAAGCTCAGTAAGCAGACTTAGATGTTTGCGAAACAAACGATCCTGTTTCTCGCCGCGACATCGACAGTTATTTTTAATAAACCGGAACTGAGCAAAGAACCATGTAGAAACAACATGAGTTTTGATAATATAAATAAATGTGTTTTACGAAGAACGCGGAAATTTAGCAGTATTTTTACATTCAAAAATTCAACTTCACAAAATAAAAGAACATTAAAGCAAATTAAATACACATATAGATTAAAATATTAATAATTCTACTTAATTGGGAAATAATTGAATAATTAATAATAAAGTTGCACAAATTTTAAAACATCTTTCTGAACAGTTGACATAAATGTGCTGAAAAATATTATTATTATATAAAAAGTGTGCAAATAAAAGGACTAAGCATAAATATCGTTCTAAATTTTGCAACTTTTACATTCAGCAACATAAATATTTGTAATTTTTTAATATCTGTAACTTTTTCTATAGAAAGATAAAAAAATTCATAAATTTATATCTTGAAAGAAGTAATTTCAAGCAAGAAGCGAAGATTATAATTGATAAGCCAAATAAAATTCACATTAACTACCTTTGATGTGCTAAGTAATCGTGTAACATAGCATATAAAAAGTATATATGCGTATATAACGTACTATATATCTAAAGAAAGCAATTATTTTATTATAATAATTGCGAACTAAAACAATATTTTTCTATTTGCTTATTTCAGCGACAGTGCGCATAAGATGAATATATGTAGTATAACTAATAATTAACAATAGTTTAATCTAGGAGACATTTAAAAGTTTAAACTTTTAAAATGTGGCAAGCAGTATTTGTCTTAATGTCAGAAATTGATGTATTTCGTAGATTAATAAGCAATTAGTCTTTAATGTCGATCAGTGGCCAACATCGTGGCGCTGCCTCGCGTAGCATGTAAACTTACTTGTAGTAAAATTAGAAAAAAAAAAGAAGATAAAAAGAACTTGATATTGTTGTCGTTGACACGTTTGCATGGATAAACATGGCATGCAGAAGCGAGCGCGAATTTAATTACTGTAAATTTTTTGTACGTAGCCAAGATGAATTATATTTTCGCAGCTTTCCCACATGTGATATAGGAGGTAAGCTCTAATGCGCTGTAACATGACAAATATTTATGTGATGTACGTAAAGAGAGA